AGCGAAACAAAACAGTCAGATAAGTCAAACTTTAGTCAACTCATTCTTCTTGCTTCCTCCACTTCCGTACCATTGATTCATTAATGTCTCGCAGCTGCTCTAGTCCCATGTTCTACTGCGTGACTGAGTTTACACACATTATGGTAATATTATGTTGAAGCATGCTATGCATTATTCTGAGCCTCCTGACTACTGTGGCCGTAATGCTCCGACAATCTACAAAGCGGTGCGGCTTTGTAACTTACCAAAGTCGTACTAAAACATTTTGACAGATTTGAGCGCATAAAACCGGTTTGCAGTCAGTAAGCACAACCAGAATTCATAAGGCGCACTTTTGAGAAAATGAAAGGATTTTAAGTGCACCTATAGTCCGAAAAATACGGCACTGAAAAGGTCTTGTGCATAAAGAGCTTCACCAAGCTGAAATTTAAACTTAAAATGTCTCAACATATATAAAATAAAGTCAAAATTAAAAGTGCCTCAAAGGCTTCGAACTGAACATCTTACCTTGGGCATGGGCGTCTGAGAGATTCTGCCCTTGACTATCCCTGGTTTAGACCATGATATGGGCATAATGTGTCTGTTGACCACAGAGACTTTCTGAGTTGCGGAGACCTTTTTTTTTTTTTTTTTTTTTTTTTTCTCTCTTCGGGGTACTTGAAGGGCTGGTTATGTTAAAAACTGGGGGCTGTGTGAGCTTAATATGGTGAGGCTTGGTATTCACGCTCTGCTCCTAAATATGTTGAAAAAAATGTGGGTGAATCGCTCGTTTACAGCGTTGAAAACAAACGTGCACAGAGCCGTGCATGAAATAAGCCCCAAAGAATTTGTGTTGAATTACTCACAATTGTTGCAGCCTGAATACGCAAACATGTTTCTAGTGATTGATAAATGGCATGAATACTTTAAGGAAACCAAGTTGTTGATGAGTGTTGTAATTTTTCTTTTTAGGGTCCTGTTGCTTTGAAGAAAAGGATTGTTTTGAAGAAAGCAGACTTTCATTTGTGGCGTTTTAAACTTTTGGGGTTTTTTGTTGAAGTAAATGTTTTGATTCTCATTTTACAGATTGTATCCTTGGCAGCCTTAAAATGTAAAAGGAACTTTGTTTTTGTAATTTCATGAATTATAATTCAACAATGAATTGTTTTCTGTGTAGGCCTATTAGAAGCCTGTTATATACAACACTTGTTGTAAGTGTCATGTAAATGTTAAACTCATGTTAGTGTTCAAGAAGGTTTTCTTTGGGAGGGAAAGACTTTTGCTAATTAACAGAATGAATTTGTCACACTGCTGTCACTTGTTAATGTTATTAAATACAAGTGGAAATGTGAAAATGCATGAAAAATTAAAGACTGTAGTTCTGTTTCCTTTTGTTTTGATTCGGCTTTAAATTAAAAAAAAAAAGCTCTTTTTGTTCAGATGTTTATATTTTCTAAACCCAGCAGTAGAAAATTTTAAAGCTTCAGTTCACTTATAAAGACAATTAAGGTTCAAAAGACCTGATGAATTTACTTTACTTTAAAGATTTGAAAGCCTGTGTCAACATGTGACCCCACGATTGCTGCAAAAGATCTTTAGAAATATTTAGAGAAACTGATACTGTTCTGCTTTTCAGGTCTACATGAAGAACATCACTTGAACCCTCATCTGCAGTCTGCAAAGCAACATCAGCAGTTTTGTCGGCACAACCTAGCAACTAATTGGAAAGTAATGATTACCAATTGACTATTTTTGTGTAGCTCAGTGTACAGAAAGTTGGTGTGTGTCTAGTTTGTATTAGATGTTATGTCATTTGATGTAATTGTTGTAGCTGGGAGTTCTTCAGCAGCCATATCATCACACTTTCCTTGGGCGGGTTTGAGTAGGTGGATACATTTCTGGTAAGTCATTAATGTACAAACTGAACAACAGAGGGCCCAAAGTTGAACCTAGAGGTACTCCAACGTTTGATTAATCTATTCTCCCCGTGTGATGTGGATCCTTGAGAAGAGCAAAGAAAAGTCTACACGTATAAGAAGTTAATACTTAATACAATCTGTACACCTTTAAAACAATCAGATCCATGAGCTCAAGCTACAGTCATCTAGGGTGTTGATACAACTCATAACCAATCTGAACCTCAGCAGTTTGTTTTCTGCTGCTGACTCAAGGCAGCAGCAGGAAACCAGCAGAAGTAACAGCCTCTGCCACCCACCACCTATTATTTACGTCTGCTTCCAACCTACAGTAGCCATGTGTTGCCTCCAGCTGCTCATAACACCCACCTGCTCCCTCGTGCAGTTTACAGAGCTGGGAAGGAAACCACACACACCTCCCCATTCAGCCTCTCGTGCACTGTTCGATCCCCATCCAACAGCCTCTCACAAAGACCATTAAAACTTATAACATCCCTCTGCTGGTCTAATCTCCACCCCCACAGAGCTGCAGGCACGTCACCTATGGCCTCATTTAACCGCAGTCCACTTGCTACACCACGTGAATGTTCTAAGGACCATCGACGGCCTCAACCTACAACTTCCTCCTCCACTTGCAGATTAAAGCAGATCGCAGGAGCTAAAGCTTCCACCTACTGCCTCGTCCAGGCAATTTCACCAGCACCATGAACCCAAATAGCTGAAAAGTGATGTTATGTTTAAAACAACTGCCAACCCCACACCTACAGCCTCATCCCGCACCTTTAATTTCAGCTGCAGATACCAACAGAAACCTTGAAGCCAAATCTCCTTCAAACAAAATGGTCATGAGTAGAAATGTTCAACTAAATCCTACATAGTTCTAAAGTACTCTTTATGTGATTATAAATACACAGTGATGTGTAAATTTGAAGGACATTCGGCTGAATGTTGAAAAATAATCACATTTCTGAAAGTAAAAGAAATATCTTAAAAGAGCTTGAGCTGTTTTAATCTTTATATGATCCTTAAAATCCTGACTCTTTACCCTAAGGATGAAAAATACCACCCTCCCAAAAACTGCTGTAAAAGTATTACTATATAATGCTTTTTTCCACTTTAAATGACTCAGTCTTTTAAAGCTACTTCAGCCTGTGAAATACATTTTAAAATGTTTTATTTTAACCCTTTAAAGGTCAGTGTGTTTGCAGAGCTCCACTGTTTTATATCGGAAAAGAATACCAGCAGCGGAAAGTCTAAAAACTAAATTTCAAGGAGTGTTTTTTATTTTTTTTATTAGGTCCTAAGATGGGTCAATGATTGGAGGCAACATTGCTTTTCATGCATTTTTCATTTTTTCTGTCATGTCAGATTTTTTTTTAAATAGTAGCTTTGCAAAAATTGCTGTAAAAATGTTATACAGTAATATTTTTTCCACTTTAAATGACTCAGTCTGAAATATCAATATCAAATATTACATTTAATTACAGTTTGGATTTTAACCCTTTAAAGGCCAGTATGTTTGCATAGCTCCACTGTTTTGTTTTGTTTTGTTTTGTTTTAACAACTTCAGCCTGAAATATAAATATAAACTATTAAGTAGAGTTTTGGGACTTTAACCCTTGAAAGAAGAGAGACACCAGCTGAGGTGGAGCAGAGGCTGAAAATGGACAGACTGGTCTTGGCATATAAGCTTCCCACATGGTGCTGCCAGCTCTTCTATTTTTTCCCATGCAAAAGTCACACTGCTCTTACATTTGCTGATGAGAGGGGCTTGTAGCAGCACCCTGCAGATTTTAATTGATTAATTGTTTGACTTGTAAACATCCATCTTCACACTCATAGTGCCATCTCCAAAACAACTGCTCCTGCATTACTGCTCATATTTCTAACTATAGGCGCAGTGCAGTCACATAACAGGCGTGATAACAAGGCTGCTGAAAGTTTCAAAGAAAAAAAGTTGCCTACCACAACACTGGAAATCCTACTTGTAAAAAGCTAAACATAAAATAAAGTTAATTGGGAATGTTTACACAGTTCTCCATATTATTGACTGTTACATAAAGTGTTATTAAACCTTATTGGCAATTTATTACTCAGTACCATCCTCATAGGTCCTTCATAAAAGGTGATAAAGTTTGACTGATACAATGTAACTGTCACATCTGGGCTGTGACTAAATGCATAATTAAATTGAATTGTTTTCAATTATTTTATTTGAAACTACAATAATTATATTTAGCTATGAACACTTAAAGATAGTTACACTAATAATAAAGGGGGAACAAGTCACTCCTTGAAAGAGTGTATTTATAATGTAAGATTGGAAAATATTGTTTACCCATAAAATTATGAAGAAGTTACGCAGTACTCCTGTAAGTACTTACAGACTAATTCCCTGTAAAATACCTAAGTTATGCAATACTTTTTTAATTACTCATGCGTGACATAACATTGCTTACACATGACTTAAAATTACCTACAGTATCATTATTTCTTTGTTTCCTGTAAAAACGTGACTTGTTACTCCCTTAGTGTATCTGCCTTTAAGTATTTGCATCTAAATATAATTCCATGTCACATTATTGAAAATTCCACACAGTTAAAGGGGAATTCACATCCTGGCCATATTAAGTGTTATCGTAACCTCTATATCCATAATCTTCTCTGGTGATCTGATTAACCTTATTTGAAATGAAGAAATCAGTTATATAAAATTGCAGGTTGAGCAAATATTGTGTTGGGCCGTAGTGACGTCACGGGGGTCTGTTTTAGTACTTTTTCAAGCTGAGCCTCCTAAAAAACACAAATGATCAACTGCATAACCTCGTGTAGCAGTGCTTGATTGTGCTGGAGTGGATGTGTCTGCGTGGGGTAAAAACACAGAGTCTTTACATGGTTTCCAGCAGAGTCCAATAAAAGTGGAAGTGACCTGCGGCTCCTTTTTTTCCCCACCACCTTGTCTTTCTAGTTCAATTACAATCTGACAAACTCATTTCCAAACACCTACAATCTGAATATTCCTGCTTCTCGGGCTGTGCGGTGTTAAAAACAGAAGGTGGCGCCTGTTTGATGTATGATATTTTCTTCACTTGAAGTGGGCCTGAACGACTAAACAAAAAGACAGCGATAATAAAATCCTCCAGGACTGTGCGTCAAAAGGCTTTACGAGCACAATAACCGAGCACACTGCCAGGATCCCCTCTGTAGCGAACTGACTGGGAGTGTTTGGGGTGCTAGACTGTGCACAGGCGTGGCAGTGGGCTGGTCCTGGCTCACTGAGCGATGAAAAAAAAAACAACACAGCAGGGTCGGTTGACTTGGTATCAGCTGAGGCCCTGAAACACTGTGACAAAGGAGCCAGTGCACACAGATTTGTTGCAATTAACTCCTTCACTCTGAGGACGTCTTCAGGCTGTGGGTGTGCCGCACCCACTCAGCAGACACGCTCCCGAGGATGCGCTGAGGTGAGTAGCCCACACTGCTGATATTTACGTGTAGTTATCCACGGAGAAAAGACTGGGTGTAGTGCGGGGTTCTCCCTGACGCGTGCATGAGCGTTGTGTGCGCATTTCTCTGACGATGCCTGCCTGAACTACTTCATGTTTAAGCTGCTGGTGTTGCGCGTCCAACTCTGTTTTTGCACAATGAAATTAAGAGGCCCACGCCGCATGCAGCTTTCACGCACATTCCCCCCTCCTGTAAATGATCTCCGCAGCCAGGCTCGGTGGGTGTGAGGCTGTCTGTTAACAGAGCCTGTGATGGCAGCGCCTCTCTGCTACTTTAGCCACACCGCGTCTGCTTGTCGTTGCTTTCCCTGCGCTGTGTTTCGCTCGCTAGCTGTGCTCGGCCTTTATTCGGACTGTAGTTGGGTTTAAATGTGCCTTTGCTCATTTGGCTCACTGAGGGGGGTGGTGTAGTGTTGTGCTACCGTCGCTGGTCTCTGCCTTTTTGCAGGAGGCCATTACCGGAACCTCCGCGCTGCTGGTGCTGATGCTGCAGTGCTTCCGAATGTTGCTAGGCAGCCATGGGGAACGCGCGCGGTTTGCAGGCGGAAGAAAGGCTGATGATAAAGAAGGAAAAAAACTCGGAAAACAGTTTTGTACGTTAACGTTGACGTTTACATTCCTGTGTTCTGCATGCACTGCTCTGGATCAATTGGCCTGTACGCATCTCCCCCCTCCCCGCCATGTGACACATCTGTTTTTTTT